GGAGGATGATGAGAATTTCGACAATGGCGGTAGAAGAAAGGCGTCCCTCCCCCATCGCCACTGGCCTCCTGACCGCCTGGCACCTGATACACCCTGGGATGATGATGAGGATGATCATGACAACCCTGACGGTGGCGAGCGGCATGCGTTAAGGAGGGAAGAAGAGGATAGTGATGAAGATGAAGGGGGTTTCGTTTTTGTCCGTCCGGAATTCATCAGCGTGCCACAGGAGTTGCCGAGGCTCTAGCACTTTGTCTTTCATTGCCAATTCATTGGCTACCCATCCAGCTTTGTGCATGCCTCAAAGCACCTCCGCAGTCAGTCAATAAACAAATAAATGCCTTTGTTCTCCTATTCTCTTTATTTCCTACGTTTTGTTTTTAAGCTTCTGCTAATTGAGCTTGCTGCCTCGTTGTCTTCGTTCTCGTCGTTCTTTTACATCGTTTTGTAGAGCCTAAAATATAAAAGCACTGCTGCATTACACTTGTTAGACTTTCGAGATGATAAAATATGCAGTCCTGGCCGACTTACTGCCAGGAAGCCATTTTTTCTCCTTGTATTTACGGCAGCTGCATTATTTGAAGTCGACTTTTTCACTGTTGCTGGCAAAACATCGGACTACATTTGGAGGCTTTAGATTTCTTGGAAATCGTGCTTACGGACTTGTATGCATCACTACTGTGCCATAAACATTTTTAATTTTCTCATCCACTTTGTCTAACTTCCCCTGGTCGTTCCCTTATCCATTGAAGTAATTAATCAGGTAATGGTGAACTAAGCTACAATTTCTATTGGAATGAGTCCCTTATTCCAGACGCTGTTGCTTCTCTAAGGAGTAGGTGATATGACGAGTATTGAAGTAACCACTTGTGGGGTCAACACTTGATTTACAATGAACGTAACTTGTGTTGTTATTACTACACTTTCACTCAAACCTCGGTTGGGGAGCTCATAAGGCTGGATCTTGTCTCAAATATTTGTTTTGTACGAACAATTGTTGTGGATTTTGGTGGGAAATTTGGGGATTTTCGCTTTAAAGCTGTTGTGGTAGGTGGGAATTATCAGCTTTTTGATTGTATCTTGTTGGTTAGAAAGCGACTGAATACACGAGGCCATCAACTCTTACTTATTGTCCTCCCAGTCGAATGCTATGCTTTGTGTTTATAAATTTGTGACAATGTTGCAGCTTTTGTGCGGTTCAGTAGATCGTTAATTGGCTATTTTTCCAGGTGTT